TGCATCACCTCAAATGATTACCTGTAGTTGCTTGTTCCCATGCAATTTTATGTATGTATCTTTATCCAATAGATCTTCAGCAAGATCTCTCTAAGTTCTTCTGATATCACCCTCTAGTGGAAGCATCTGATACTGTTAGTCATCTGCTAAATTTGTCTGAAATTTTCCTTTATTTAAACTGAAAAGAAAAAAATGTGTTTAGAGAGTAGAGCTGTGACATCGTTTGTTACCTTATTTTAATACAAAAATTAAGCCATAATCACCAGTACTGTTAGCCTGTATTCTAAAACCATTGTAATAACTGAAAACTCTGAAGTTACTATTTTTAACTGAAATAATTGAAGAACTTCTTAAGTTCCACTGAAACGTGTTAAAAGAAATATACTGAATCTCCTAAATCTTCTACTTTCATGTGACCAACAGCATAATTATAGTACTGTTCCAGACAGCTGTCTTTCATTGTATGTATTCATATGCATATATTGCAACTCGTTTGTATCTGAAGATGTAGGACTGGAGAGAATCCCAAGATACGTGGTTTTCAGTACAGGAAGAGATGGACATACCATTCTGAACAGAATTTTCTTCTGAGCTCAAATTAATTTGTTCTTCCCCCCCTCCCCAGTGAGATTATATAGTGCTGAAGATGAGTCAACTTCAAAATCACAGGTTCTGCCTCATAAGCACGATATCATTACTCTTCTTGGTGTTGGGGGACACTGGATAACAACAGAAAAAAATCTTCAGGTAAAGAGACTGTGTCAATAAGTTAGCTTGTAGCAGAGTATATACATGGATGTGTCTGTGAGCTGCTGTCACGGCTGGATGGTTCCTCACCATCAGTTTTCACTGAAGAAAATTTTCACATCCAGAAAATGGGAAATACACAGCATTGCTAATAAACGTTTTTATTTTCCTTTGGAACAATTTTGGGGCTGTCTTCTCTGAGATGATAGTAAGTTATGTTAATAGCTTGGCTGTACCGACAAATTTTAAAGGACCTATTTTCTTTGGCTCAGAGTATTAAACTGTTTGACAAGACAGAAGAGTATAATTTAAAGCTGTAAATACTACAAGTTTGCTAAGTTTTAAGAAGGGTCAAAAGGTGTGGTTTTGTTTGTTTTAACCATCTATATAAAATAATAATTTAACCTTTATTTTTGCATAGGAAAACATAACTAAATAACATTTTCCTTGACTTTAAGCTGGATCCTCCAGATAGCCATTCCTTGTTTCTTAAAGGAGCCACAGTCTCCTTTCTGAATGACGAGATATGGAACTTGTCCAATATACAGCAAGGGAAGTATCTCTATATCCTTTTGATGGTCATTTTGAATGCTGATTGCAAATATGAATGGATGGAAACGTAACTGAGAAACCCACTAGTAGATTCTCTTCCTCTGTCATGTAACCACAGGCTTAAAGGTCAGCACCGTTAAGCATACGGTGTAACTACAATATAACATACACTCATGTCTTAAGCTAGTCTCTGCATTCCCTCTAGATATATGTCTCTACATGCTACATTAAAACCAGTGCTGAAATAGAAAACACACGTTCTGGAGAAAATGCAGTATTTTTGGTTCAAGAGCAAAGCAATTAACTGAAGATTTGATTCTATAAGTTTTTAGATTATGCGTACAAGCATTTGGAATTTTCTTTTGGGCAGCATCTGTAAATCCTAATGCAATCAGTTTAACTGTAAAAGTTAAAATATTTCAGCTTCATAACCTTTTCCTTATTTGCAGTGTTAGTACATAAAATTTATTGAGCAAAGGTGTGGGTGTGGGAAAAGGAATGCCTCCTTCACTTGCATTACCTACATTTGGTCTTAAGGAGCTGGACTCCGGGCTTTCTACTAGCATGACCACTTTCAGTGGGTCGCTTCAAGTATGGAAGGTTTGTCTGTTTATGTCTTTAAGGACCCTCCCTGTTCTGTACTGCACTGCAGATTATGAGATCTGCTGAATCACTTTTGCAGTTTAGCAGAACGGCAGAGGCAGGTGAGGATTAAGTCATTATATTTGTGAAACGACTAACTGTACTGCAAGGAAGTCCTCCCCTCCTCCACTGACTGCAAAGTAGATTAGGCAAGGTTAGGCACATGAAGGAAATATTTATGGGATACAGACTATCTTGAATCATTTGATAGTTCGGTATTTTTATTGAATATTTACTGAGTAGTTATCCACATAAAAAGTAAGCTGACTAAACAACAAGATTTCTTCTGTCGTCTCCTGGGGTATCTTTAATAACAACAGTATGTTTTATCACAACAGGCTTTAAAGTTGAAAGGAGAAATCTGGGGGTTTGTGGGGGTTTTTTTGATCTATATTTATCTGTGAAATTCTTGATCACCTTAACATTTCTTCAGATTATATTAGTGCCATATGCTCACTTCTGAAAATGACTTGAGCCTCCAATATTAACCACATTGCTCTTACAATGAAGGAAGGCACATTATTTTTTTAGTTTCATATAAAGACTAAATACAGTCTCATCTGTTGCATTGTCATCAATGTTAGTCATTAACTCAGACATCCCTTACAGATGTGCAGTGATGCTCCAAGAATTTACAAACCCTGCTAAGTTCCCAACTTTATTTTGATTTTTATGTCAGATGTCTGTATGAATAGTAGCATTAGTTAACTGGTACCAGTCTGTCATCTTAATTCTGCACAAAAGATGCAATTGCCATTCTGATTGATTAATAATGTAGTAGTACAGTCTGCATTTGTAAATTTTAGCCCTTTTGCATTATTTTTCAAAATTCTGTTTTCCGTATTTCATTTCTGTATACTATTTCAGGAAAGGAGGTTTCTGATATATAAAAAAAGTGCATAAATCTCATCTAAAGATTGGAATTAAGACTGATTTTTATTTTGCCTTGATCCTATTGGTCTCTGTTAATATTGCCAGCAAACATCATTACAGAAAGATTTGTCTATAGATATATTGTTACCTTGACAGTCCTCTTAGATACCCATCTTAGAAGATATAATGGAGAAATTATCAAGCAGTATTTTCAGGTAAGAGATGTGATTTTTTTTTTTTTTTTTTAATTCAGCATTAGAAGTAGAAAACTTTTGCCAACACTGTACTACAAGTTTGTATTGGGATGCTCAGGAAAAGATAGTTTATATGGAGCAGCTTATGGTCTATTTCTGTTTGTAACGTAGCAGGCTAAGCACAAGGAAATCTTGTAAATCCCACGATAGTGCTGTGTGTCAGAATTTAACAGAGGCAGCACATTCTTTTCTTGGTAGAGGAAGAGCAAATATCTGGCTGCTCAGCAGTGTGTCTGAGAAATGGTGTTGGCTGTAAAAGATAAGTCTGTCTAATATTCCTCTGAGAAGAGTGACAGCTTCACTAGATATGAAGACTCCCATAAAAAGGTGGGAATGGAAAACCCTTTCTCTTAGTGCAGGGTAACTGTATTGTTGTTGAGCAAAAGCTTCGCTGCCACTACCACCTTTTTTTTTTTCCCCTCCGTAGGAAGGATATCTTTTAATTAACTTCTGTTTCCTATTTGCCTTAGGGCTCTTCCTTTCTTCTGTGAACCCAAGCAAAGCTTTAAAACTTTGAATTTTGTTTAAGGAGTACAGTTTACATAGTGAAAGTAAAGTCTATAGCAGTAGTCCTGCAATATTTCTGTTGATCTGAGCATGATCACCAGAAAGTTCTGACATATTGTTCCATTTTAGGCCTCAGCTGGATGAACCGATCCCATTGTATGAAGCCAAGGTTTCTATGGAAATAGTTCAGAAGAATCAAGCAAGAAAAAGACAAGTCATCCAGTTCTGACACACAATTTCCTGATTTCTAAGCCTGTGGGAGATAAAGAAACGTAACGTATTTGAGAAGTAAATTAGTGTACACTTTCAAATAATTCTGTAAACAGAATTTAAAGATCTTTTGTACCTCAGCACAAAATGGTATGTGATGCTCCTGAGACTTCAGGGGTTTTTTTGGATCCATGTGAGCAAAATGTTCCCATCAGCAACTTCTAAAGAGGCAGTCTTGACATACAAATCATGTCTGCCCTGCCCCACTTATAAATGTCAGTAACATCTACAGGCAAACTCAGTAGCTGTTGGTTTTCAACCATAAGAAATTAAAGTTAAAAAAAAAATCTGGTGTTTTTTGTTAGTCTTCCCTTCCCCAGCCCCTACCAGTAGTCACCTTTATCTTTTGCTTTTGACTGCATTGAGACCGAGTGCTCTCTGTGGTACACTTAGTCTTGATTGCACATTTTATTACTTAATTGAAAGACAGGCAAAACCATCAGAATGGGCAGGGATGCTAGAGGAGAAGGATATAGTATTGACAGTAAGAGTTCTCCCCACAGCCAATTTTCCTCATTTTAGCAAACAGACAGTAAACCTAGTAAATCTAGAGTCCATAAGCTGATACAATCATGTCATTCAGATGTTTGAGGCACTCTATGTATCTTGTTACTGTAATGTTATCTTTGATATCTTTCCAGTAAGACCCTCCTATGCTGTGCAATTTCACTTCCCCTCTTTTAACCTCAGTCCTATGACTAGCACAGCTCAAATCTGTTTATCTGACATTCTCCATTACTGTGAACCATCTGCAAATCAGCAGTAGGGAAGGAACTGCTGTTTTTCTTGCTTCAAAGCATGCGGCTTCCTACTTGCTCTTATTTGAGAGCAAAAATTTTTTTTGTTGTTCAACTGTGCTATTCATTTTCACTGTGTGGATTGCTGAAACAGTGGACCCCTAGCACTTTAAACCAGTGTAAGAAGTTGGAACATTTGGGTGAAAATAGATTATCTAGAACCATCATTAATCTATCTTCTGTCATTCACTGGACTTGTAGTAGGTTCTTAATAAATGATGCAAGGGGAGCATATGAAAAGCATGAGTAAATCTTATTTTACTACTAATGTGATGTAATGCAGCCATGAAAAGAAGTGATGCTTTTATGCACATGTGTACACACACATATCTAAAGCATGGGAATCCTTTGATAGTTTGACCTTTATTCTGAAGCTTTGTACCCAACTGCTTATTTTTTCCTGATGTCACTCATTTTAGCTTAAATGTTTGCAAAATGAAGTTGATCAGAGGAAGCAATAGTTTAAAAATAAGGTTTATTAAAACAGGAACAACCACTGACAAAGCTGCAGAAGAAAGATTTTTACAGTGTAGTTTTCATTTTATTAGATCTTTTGTCAGGAGGTATGTTGCTCCTAACTACATCTATAAATGCCTTTTGAACCCCATATACAATAGGCTAAGGCTAGCTAATGCTGATGTGGTCTTAGCCTTTCAGCTGGATCAGGTTAGGAAGCAAATGTTTCTTTGTACTTTGGGTGTTAAGTGGCCCCTTGGTGCATTTAGCTGGTCAAGATGCCTCAGCATTTTCTAATGCTCTTTAATAATGTTAGCTTTAGATTTGCATGTGCTTGAACAAGAGGGTTCGTGAGGCTCCCTAAGCAATTGCTTCCGCTCATGCTCATCCCCCTCACAGAAGAAAGCAGAAAGTAGTTTGGGGTATGAGGAAGGCTCCCCAGCGCTGCAGGGAGAGGCTGCCACGTGCTTGCCTGTTCCTTTGTAGCTTTGACAAGAAAGTCGCGTGTGCCTCACTGCTACCTGTATGCTGATCGGCCAGCCCTGTAAAGGCTGCCGGTGGTGTCCTGCAGCACTGATGCTGGTGAGAGGCACGCCAGGAGCAGCGGCAGCTCGGGCTATTGCCCGGGACCTGCTGAGGGTGCATCTGCTCTGGGGAGCTCACGTCCCACACAGCCAGATGCCGTGTGGATGAAGCGTAGGTGGCCGTTAAGGCCAGCCACATGTTTTCAGCAACAGCTTTGGGTCTGGATTAGTTTTATAATCCATCATCGTTTTATTTAATAGCCTTCAGAGCAGTATTTTGGAAAGCATGATCTGTCTAGCGTGGGCTGATGACTGCCCTGGTTTTGGTGGAGGGGATGGGTGCCTTCCTGCAGCACAGCCTGAAGTACTCCACTGTGGGCTCTGGCCAGGTCCATGAGCCGCTATCAAAACTAGTTTTCTACCCCCAAATATGCACAGTGCATGGTTAGTCTCTTATTTCACACGACTAGAACCATGTTCATCTCCGCAGGTGACGTTTGTCCTGGTGCAGCCATGCGGCGATTTCCTTGATACCTGACTGGAGAAACTCGGGCTGGTTTCGGAATAGACTCGGAAACCTTTTGTTGTTGTTGTTGTTTTTTTCTTAGCAGGAACACTTTTTCCTTGGTATCATTATTACTACCTACAAGCCGAAGCGGGGCGGCGGCAATGGCGGCGGCCGCCTTCCCTCGGCGCCGCCCGGGGGCGGAGCTCGCGCCTTTTGGCGCCAAGCCGGCCCAGCCTCTCGCGCTGCGCGCCGCCCGGCCATGGCCGCCGCCGCCGTGCCCGGCTACTCGCCCGGCTTCAAGAAGCCGCCGGCGACGCTGCGGCTGAAGCGCAAACGGCTGCGGAGGAGCGACCCCGCCGCGGCCGCCGCTCCCGCTCCCGCTCCCCCGCCCTGCGGCGCGGCCCCGCGGGGCCCCTCCGCGCCCGCCCGCCGCAACCCCTTCTCCAGCCTGGACAACGCGCCGCGGGCGGCCGGCTCCCCTCAGCCGCTGGAGCGGGCCCGGCGGCCGCCGCCGGCGGGCGCGTCCCCCTCAGCAGCGCCCTTCTGGCAGGTAGGGCCGAGCCCCGGCCCCGCGGCGAAGCGGGGCGGGAGGAGCGAAGGGGAGGCCCCCTGGGCAGAGAAGGGCCCTCCGCGCCGGCAGCCGTGGGCCTCGGCCGGGCACCGCAGCCCGCCCCCCAAAATAGCCAGCCCCCCGAGCCTGGGGCTTGCCCCAGCTTTGCACAGCCAGTGGAACCGGGCCGGTGCCCTTCGCTGCGTGGGCGGCCTTTGATGGCGCCGAAGGGTGGGTGGGTGCCTGCAGCGTGTACGCGCCTAGTATGACTCGACCCGGTTCATGCTTTGTGCTGCATCTCACACTCCTTTTTCTGTTCAGCTTTTAGAGCCCGTTTGTGAAAATAAGCCTGCCCGGAGAGCAGAGCCGCCTGAAAGAACAAACATCCTCGCCCTAACTGAGGTACGAATCGGCGCATACTGCTTCTGAAATGTTTTTAGTTGCTCTCAGTTCACAAAGAAAGCTGAAACAGCTTAACTTCATTTTATACAGAGATGGACCATCAAATGTTATGTACTAAAATGTCAGCGTTCAAGAAAATTTCTTAAATTGCCTTAACATTTACTGTTACGGTGACAGTCTTTTAAAAGCCACACATCTGCCTGACATTGCTACTCTTGTTCTGGTTGGCAGAGGTGGTTGTCTTCTTCCAGTTTTACTTCCATGTTTACTATAATTCTTCTGTTAGTTTTTTATTTTGTTGAGATAAGGATGTTTTTTAGAGTGATACATCTCTTGCAGTCTTTTATTCAGCTGTAGAAACAAGCAGCTTTAACCAGGCGCATAGGAAAGAAGGAATACCTAAAAAGCAGTCCTTGAAAGAGAGTTTCAAGAAAATAACATCTAATATTGTTATAGGATCAGAAACTTAAGGTCAAACTAACTAAGCAGAATAGAAAAATGCCTTCTCAAAGAGAACAAATTGTCCTAGAGCTCCCCAGTGGGGTTTTTTGCATCCTCTAGGAAGCATCTGACATTACAATCACCAAGAGAAGATGAAATGTAATAGCTGTTTTGGTATGGAAATTCTTGTCTTCATAAACTGCCGTCTGAATTTTCTTTTTTTGAATCATTCATCCTCTTTATCTGTACCTGGTTTATGACTTTTGGAAAGACTGCTGTGAATGAAAACCCTCTTCTGCATTTGTATAAGCAATATTATAATGCCATATTTCTAGTAGGATCTGTTACTGACTAAAATAATCGATTGAGTATAAACTGTGACTTTGGTTAGCCTATGAAGAGTCAAACTGTGTAACTTGGAACCCATAAAATTTGTCTGCAAAAGCTTTTTTTAAAGTATGTCTCTTAATGTCTATACTTCCTTAGGATCAAATTGAGCTAGGCGTTTTTGCAGTTGCACTGAATTGGGAAAAAACCTGGAGGAGACGACAGGCTTAACTTGTCTTTTTATAGGCTACCAAACTCAAGACATTATGTGTAATAGCCATAGTCCAGTGTCTGGTCTGCCTGCCAGGAAAGGTATATTGAATCAACATGGGAGGAGAACTAACCATGCTAAAATATAAATAGGTAGCTACATAAGGGTTTTTTTAAATTTTCTGTGGGCTAACTGATGCCGTTTTGTTTTGTAAGGCTCTTCATTTACCTGTTGCTGTACCAGAAGTTCCCTCCTTACCAAGCCATGAATTTCCTGCAGACTGGAGTATTAAAACACGACTTCTATTTATGTCTTCCAAACCTTTTACCTGGGCAGAGCATTTAAAAGCACAAGAGGAAGCTCAAGGATTTGCTCAGCATTGTAGAGCTACAGAAACAAACTTGCCACAGAGCATACAGGTAATACTTTGAGGGTAGCTCGAAGCTCCAGCTTTAGAAGGGAGAAGGTACCTTTGCACCTTTCTTTAAACAGTGCTGGCAGTGAAAGCTTGATTGTGTTTTGTTTTGGTCTTTCTTACGTTAAGAATAAGGCTCATTTAGACTACTAGCTTCATTTCATCCATGGCTTTTGCCCCCAGTGGCAGACAGCGATAAGTGAACGGTCATTTAACTTCAACAGCAGAGGAGTTGCCAGTTGCTTTCCCTCTTTCTTCAGTCTGGCTTATTTACAAGCCTAGTAATTTTTTTAGTATTTAATGTCATATTTTTTAACTCATCACTTGCAATGCTGCCTTAAGTAGAGCATTACTCTCCTCATAAAATGCTTTTTGACATCTAGGAACCAAAACTGTCGACAGAACTGCGTTGTGCCTTTCAGCAAAGCCTCGTCTACTGGCTTCACCCTTCACTGCCATGGCTGCAGCTGTTCCCTCGGATTGGAGCAGACAGAAGAATCGTTGGAAAGGCTAGTCCCTGGTCACAGGATGAAGCCTTGCAACAGGCACTAATGAGCGACTGGTAAGTGGAACCAAACAACTAATGTATTTGGTAAGATTAAGGCAATGGGATTTTAATTGATGCACAAGTTCTTTCCATTTTTATGAGAAAGCTTTTCAATTTTGATTGTTTTTTTTTTTTTTTTCTAGCTAGATTGCTCGTTAATTTGAGGGCCAGGCTAAAGGAATAAGACTAAAGCTTCCTTCTTGCATTAAATACCCCTCTGCAATCCTGGTGGTTGATTTGGGTAGAATTCCATAAATCCTGTTAACAGGTTGCCTTTGATGCTTCATGTAAACCCACATGCTAGAAAGCAAGTACGCTGGAAAAGCCCAGCACTCCCACACAGGACACGTTTCAAACCACGTGCGAGAAAGCAGCTATTCTGGAAGAGTGTAGGACTCGCAAGCGGGCTGCGTTTTAGGGGAGGGCAGCTTCCCCCAGGTTGAGCATGCCCGAAAGTCTGGCGAAGGGTTCAGTACGCCCCCAGACCCGCCCAGAGTACGCATCGCAAACAGCCAGCCAGATCCAGTCCGACGTGTCAACAGCAAAGAATTAACTTCAGTTACAGGGTTGTTTTATTCTCATTTGCAGGTCCGTCAGCTTTACTTCTCTGTACAATCTGCTCAAAGCCAAACTCTGTCCCTACTTCTACGTATGCACCTACCAGTTCACTGTCCTGTTCCGCGCAGCTGGTCTTGCGGGAAGCGATGTCATCACAGCTCTAGTTTCTCCCACAACTAGAGGTTTAAGGGAAGCCATGAGAAATGAAGGTAAGGTGAAGCCAGTCCAGTTAGGATTTGAATAACTGATAAAGTGTGTTAGCTGTGTTAGGAAACCATTCATTGCTTTCTTCCCTCCTCTGTTCAAGGCATAGAATTTTCTTTACCTTTGGTAGAAGAAAGTAGAACCAGAAAACAGAACAACTCTGAAGTGAATTTGGAAACAGAAGTTGCCAACAGCCTCGAAGTGGGCAACAACACGGAAGCTGGAGGGTATGTAATACGTCTTCTACAATGCTAGAATTCAAGGGCATCTACAGGCTCCTGCATGTTCCATTTGGAAAACCTTCAGAGAAGTGTTGCCCTCCTAACACTGATTCTGTGTTTCCCAGGGAACCAGCTCCAAGCGATGATGATGATGATGATGATGAAAGTTTCTCTTGGCTTGAGGAGATGGGAGTCCAAGACGAGGTGAAGAAACCAGATACTATTTCTATTAAACTGTATCCTTTCTTTGCACATCAAGATGTACAACACTGGAAAACCGTGCAGATGTTCTCTTTTTTGTGGTATAGGTTTAAGTTTTATAAAAGCTTTTGAGAACTTCTTTCCAAATGTTAATCCTCACATTACTGCACATTAAGAGACTGCACGTCTTTTTGAGTTTCTTTATGACAGGTATTTCTAGATGCTTTTCTTCTTGAAGGAAAAGCCATTGTGAATTGCTAATGTAACGTTGTAAGATCCGTTAGGTCACAAACTGATTGTGTCACCTCACATACAGGTTCACCAGAAAGACTCATTAGCCTTTTTTCTTTTTTTAAAGAGAAGGGTGCATGTCAGCTAGGCTAGGTTTACACTGGGAAGTAGTGTGGCACGGTATGGACACAGCTGTAAACCAGAGGAGCTGTTGCTGAGATCCTGTAGGTGTTTCAGAGGGACCGATTAACTCTGTCTTCCTCTGGTTCCATTTGTACTTGGAGCACCTGAGGTTTTTAATAATGAAATCAGAAGCCAGGTTTGACATGCTGCTTAATATTTGAAGAACCGATCTGAATCCGTGTAAAGCTTGGTGTGGGTTTTTTTTTTTTGTTTTGTTTGTTCAAATGACTTGATTGTTCAGAGGAGGGGCGGGGGGCTTTCTTCTGGAGTTGCACTGCTCCGATTCTTCCTTTGGTGCATTGATGCTTTTCACCTCCTCGCGGCTTTCCTTTGACTCCCGCCAATACAGTCGTAAGGAGAAGCACGAGGTACAGATGGATCACAAGCCCGAATCCCTCGCGCTAGTGAAAGGAACAAACACCTTCACCTTGCTGAACTTCTTGATAAACTGTAAGAGCCTAGTAGCTGTTGCAGGTCCACAAGCCGGGCTTCCACCAACTCTGTTGTCCCCCGTTGCTTTCCGAGGAGGAACAATGCAGACGCTCAAAGTAAGTAACACACTGTTTTCTAAGGAAGTTGTTTCTTCACTCGGTAAATTAAACGCCGCCTCTGTATCGTTTCCCTCAGGGGCAGCAGAGTAGTTTGTGTTGCTGTAGCCTGAGTTAGTGAGCATTTTGACTGCAATGCAGTCAGAGAGCCTGCAATGCAACAGAGACGAGATCGCCTCTACCCGCATCGATCTGTGCTGCCAGACTGAAATCCCAGCGTTTCCCTTCTTCACAGCCTGATAAACAGGAGGTTAAGCAGACTTCCCAGACAGTCAGATGGTTCTTAAAAGATTCTCTTGAGCCCTAGTGGGGTCTCAAACTACGATCAGAGCTGCTTGCAACAAGGGAGCCTCTGAACCACGGCTCGCCATCTGTTACTGTAAGGAGATGGTGGGTACTAAAGGGTATGTTGTTAAGACAGGTAGTGCAGTAGTCTTCCACCAGCATAGTAGTTCACTAGTGTTCTTCTGCAGTTCACTTTCTTAATACTGTATAGCAGTCCTGCACATCACGGTACATTTTAGGAGTTGCTCCAAAGAGTAAAACCATTTATAATACATATTCAACAGTAAGTTGGCAATATTGAAAAGCATTTTGAACTTTGGATGGGACTGTGGCACGGCTGTATTAAAGTAAATGAAAACTAGGACTTGATTTGGCCTGTCAAAACCTATTCTGATGTGGTCTTTTCTTTAGGCTCGGAGGATAAATGCCAAAGCCAGAGTTCACTCGGCATACGAGGACATCTTCAGTCTGGAGATCGTAGGCCCTGTCATGCCTCATGCCCTGCACTCCTTGACCATGCTGCTGAAGGCCGCGCAGAGGGGAGCGTTCTCTGCTGTACTCTACACGCATGAGCCAACTGCTGTGTTTAACACTAATCCTGACAGCTCAAGCCCTGCCTTAAATAAGGTAAGGAAGCTAGCAGAGACCATCTTTCCTCTTAGGAACGGTATCTTTATTGCAAACCACAGTTTGCAATAAACGGAGTGACACAAAACTTCCCCTTAGTACCTGGGTTTACACCCAATTACTTGTGATCACCAGGTGGCAGGCCCTGGGGCTTGTCATTCTATCAGAAAGGGAAATGTGGGGAAAAAAACTAGTTTTTCAGGAGTTCCCCAGAGGTACAAAAAAATGCACATTAAGAACTACAGGTATTTCAGACAGAAATACCTATTCCATCTCTCTCTTGATGTGAACTTCCACAGGAAACCGTACACAAAGATCTTGCAACGTGTGGACTGCATCCTAAGACTTTGGAACAACTGAGCCAGTGTCCAACATTGGGAAAAGCTTCCATCCGGTTTCTGGAAATGAAGGATTATGCTTATACCTGGAAGTCCTAGGTTTCATTTACTGGAAAAGAACACTCTTTTCCAGTGTGCAGTTGCTGTACTTCATTTGGGTCTCCAGGGGCAGCACCTACGCGGTACCGGAGGGATGTAATCTAGTTGAACATCACAGACAACAGCTATTGCACATCACCCATCATAAAACACTTCAAAGGATTTTTGATGGAAATTAAGGAAGAGCTTCTTTATATTTTAGAAAGCCTTTTTAAAATAAAACTCGATAAAACATTATTTTACTGATCTGAATTGTCTGGCATGTCTGTTCTTCATGCACATGCAAATTCTACTCTGAAGTACAGAACTTCTGCTGCTGCTCTGTGCAGTAACTCGTAAACATTTTGGACGGGTGGAATTCCTGGCAGAACACCGCCCAGGACTGCTTGCAGTGCCTTGCCAGAAGCTTGATAGCTACACCTTGGTGTGCTGCACCTCTCGGTTTAGTCTGCTCTGACCTCCACCGAGACAGGTCCAAGTTAGATGGCCCCGAGCACAGAGTTCTGGCTGCAGCTGAATCAGATTATAAGGTTAGGATTCCTCAGAACTGCTGAGCACAGCTGTCTGGTATTCCCATAGCCACTTATGTTAAAAGGAGCTAGATTTTTCATGGTCAGTTTGTACAAAATATAACCCGAATCAGAACAAGTTAAGAGTAATAAAATAGTCACACCACCTGATTGAAGACAAATAAAATGAGAGGCAGCAGGGGGCTGCTCAGCTGCCTGCCTGTGCTCACAGCAACAGCCGAGTTTAACAGGTTTAACGCAGTCTGTTTCACTTCGGGTAGAGCAAGTCAAAGCTGTTATTTTGGAGGTGTGTATGTCACTCCTCACACAGCTCTCAGGTGATCAGGCTCCTGTAGCAGAGAATACTAAATCTGCAAAGCAAGGCGTAGAATACTGCTATACTTATGCCCTCCAGCAAGATTTCTAGTTCAGCTGGTATTTTGCACAGAAAATAAAGCAGTGCTCACACCCTGCGGTCAGCAACCCTCTTTACTCCTGTGCTGTTCTGCTCACCACTTAGGAATCTGTCTGGGATTCTGAAACAAACATTAGACTGTAGCCCAGCCTTGCTTGAAAGATCCTGTAAGCTTAAAAATGGGGGCACTAAAGAAGTTGAGGCACTGTAACAGCTTCCCCCCCCCCCCCCCTTCCTGTGGCATCCAGTTCCTTTGTATTGCCACCCCTTGAAGTGCCCTCCTCCCCCAGGAATGGGGCACATGCACAATGACACTGCAATAGGGAAGAGCTGTTACTTGACAGTAACTGCCATGACACTGCCAGCCCAGTGGTACCCTACACACGACGACAGCTAGAAAACCTGAACTCCCTCTTATGATGGAAAAAGGCACCTTCAAATACTCTGATTATGTCAAATACTCGGTTTCTGGTGAAGTTCAGAGTAGTACGGTCTGACTTAAATTAATCTTTACGCTTCTCCCTAACTAATCTAAGCAGCAAATCACTTAACTTTTCCCCTTTGATTAGCACCAGACCCCAGGAGTGAAAACCCAGTGCCAAGAGCACTGAGGGGGAACAGCAGAAGCCTGGGTTTCTAAAGCAGCTGGTACGTTAACTACACTTCCATTCCCAGTCTCGTTTTTAAGAGACCAACAGTTAACTGGGTACAGAGGCCCTCTGGCTCGCCCGCTTCCACCAGGCCCAGCGCTCTGCGGCGGGAGCATCCCTTCACCCGCCCCCGCTCCCACACCGGCAGCGCCTTCCCAGCCCGCAGGCTGGAGGAACCGGCCCGCTGCCAGCCCCTGGGACAAGCTACCAGGGAAAGGCAGGTCCGCAGCTGCCTCCAGGGGAAAAGCAGTTTTAATCAAGCCCATGACCATCTTGGTATGTTCCTAAGAAATACAATTACTCTCCACTGCAGTTCCAGTTTGTATTTTCACATGTAGCACGGGAGTTGGGGCAAGACACTAACGCCGATTCAGTTTGTGTCATTCAAAGAAATGTGAAGCGCAGTTACATTGTTGTAGTCTAGAATTGTGTAATTTCAAAAATTTAGCCCCAGTTCTTCAGCACGTGCTCTGCACCACTACCTGAGCGGTAGCTCCCCCTCCTCGTACTGTAAACTGGCTGCTGGGTTTAAGGCAGAGCTTTGTCTGCATTTCCAGCAGCACAGTCCAGTTGCTTACAGCTCTGGGACTCGGGGCTGTTCTTGGAGCACCCTTGGGTCCAAGGAACTTTCCCTGGAAAAATGTTGACAGCGTTAGGCCATCCAGGCAGTCACTCTTCCACTGGGAGGTATTTTAGTAAATACTATCATCATTCCAGACGCTTGCAGAACAGTAAGATTTATTTATTTAACCTGTCCAAATGGATGAATTCTCATCACAACTATGATCTGTTTGGGAGAGCTAGGAACTGCAACTGTTGATAAAGACTTCATACAGTTTTTGCACTTTAAGCGGCAGTTTCGAGTTTTCCAAGGCATAGGAACCTCACCTTCCTGCTCCTCCGGTCCTAACGATTGAAAAACTACAGTTACAGGTCTGCCAAGAAATCATTCTGGTGGAAGCTGGCTACAAGGTTTTGGGCACCTGTTTCAAAATGCTCCTCACCCCACGGAAGTCAAAAGCACTTTCAGCGAGATTACTTCTAGGAAAATAATTCTGCAGCAAAAGGAAATCCAAGAGCCAAACAGATCATGTCTTCCATCAGCAGGAGTCACAGACTATTCACCTTTAAGACAGCTGAAGTGCTGCATAAATAACCAGGTTCCAAGAGAGTGTTTCCTAGTTGTTCTTTTTAATATATCACTACTTATCTATTCCTGCATGCAAAGGACACTCAAGCCAATTCAAATTTACAAATTTAACAGAAGCACATCGCTGCACTAGCTTTAGATTTATATATCGTTCTGAACAATAAGGAACTAAACTAAAACAGAAAGCTCAAAATCAAAAACTGTCATAATCCGAACATTACAGACCTTAATGGTTTTCCTTTTCGTCCAAGTCTTCCTTAAGACCAAAGGTTAAACCCACAGATAGTACCACATCTTTAAGGCGTGAAATCCAGAACTTGCCTACGTAGTTAGTTTTTAAATGGAGCCATCGGCGGGACTGAATTACCCTGCTCCTCGCTGCTGCGAGATAGCACGGATCTTTACATTATACATGGGGAATATACACCAAAGAACAAAATAACAGGTACAAGAGATTGCATGTTCCCAGATTTGATACTGTACAGCTGGGAAACCAGTGCTGACATGGACACCACAGACGAAACAGAATGATCAACATCTCTGATGTTTTAGCTCTCTCAAACCAGGTTTAAACAGAAGTCTGATTAGGAGCTGCTCCCACATCCCAAGTCAATCAAGTTGTACATCAAAAAGCCCAACTTCATCTAAGACAGATACAACACCCAGTTCTCCCACAGCAGATCTTTCCATTGCTGTACCATCATATGTACTTTTGTTTCTTTATACACATCTTCCAACGAGTTCACAGCAAATGAGGCAAGGAGATCATCAAATATTTAGTCAAGAGACTGAAGGCGAGAAGCCAAAGGGAAAGAAGTTTAATTAAAGACAACTATGTCCGTGAAAATTAGGATTAACTTAAGCATTTCTAGAGCGCTTTGACAGACTAATAAGGGGCTTTATTTCTCCGAAGTGTGTGGTGGAGAACCAAATACCATTTCTCTGCTGTACACAAGACAAGACATTAATCCTTGTCCCTTTAGGGCAAAGACAGACACCCTGTTCCATAACAGTTGACAGAAAACATGTGAGTCACCTTACTTTGTGGAAGGAGAGGTACTAGTAATTCTTCACCTCCACATTCCTACTACCATGGCAAAGGTCATTCACTTTAGGCCTGAGCACAGCCTTAGTGCATACAACTGTATTTTGTTCCTGTCCCAGACAAAGCTCTGGTCAGTAGATTTGATACAAAAAGACCTCAAAAAGACTCTTCTGAAATAAGCACTTGAACTACCGAAGTCAGTAAATTGTGGCAATCTGCTCGTAACTCAGACAAATCTGGCAAGAGGTGTACGATGCCCTTTCCAATTCAAAGTGCACATAGCTAAAAGTACTAATACTTCTTAAATTAAAAAAAAAAAAAATCCACAAAAAAACAAAACAAAAAAAAAAAACCAGAAAGGAAGAGAAACAAACAAACAAAAAACAAAACAAAAACAAAAAAAAAAGAATAAAAGCTTTCTACATCCTCTCCCTTGTCAAACTGCCAAAACTCTGGATCAGGCTGTCTCCTTGAGGGCAGAGTATCATTGCAGAAAATTTAAGCCCCAGGAGTTAATTTGGAAATAGTCCAAAGCAACCAAAAATGCCTAGAACTGATTCTGCAACCCTAACAGCTGTTGATAATCTTCATAAAGCGTACTTTTATACTGTGCGTTTCTTCAAAAAGTTGTTTTGGCATACATTTTTTAATTACTGTTTACTGACCATCGATTAAGATTATGAACTTGTGCTGCTTTATTGACCAAGTTGGGTACAACAATTTAAGCATCATTCTATCCCCTCCCTCCCCCCCGAATCCAGTTGTAGATTTGTTAGAGTTTAAAATTCACATTAACCACAAATTCATACAATCAACATCAGGCAGTGTGTTAATTTGTTTGGAATAGACAACTCCATCGTCTCCCTTCTCAGAACATGCAGGGAGAGTGTCACCTTTCCATCGCGAGTCTCATCGGTTCCATTGCTGGACTTGCTGCCATGCCTCTGAAAGCGAGTCTTGTTTTGCCTAACCCCGTACGCGAGGGCGTACGGGCTGCACGGCCAGTCGCAGTGCACCACCGAGTTACCCCCCCCCCCCCCCAAAAGGCAGAGAGCAGCCGTGGTGGTAACACTGTACAACAGGGCTACCGCCGGGGGCTCCCTCACGGGGGTCACCGTACTGGCCCGGTATCTGTCCAGCAGTACACGCCAGCCTCGACGAGACCAAGGGGAGCCGCGCGCGCGGCCTTTTACCAGCTGTTGGCAAAAGCGCACGGGCGGCTCTACCGAGACCAGGGAAAACTGCAGCATAGTACAAAACAGTATGAAAGTGTTAACATTCCGTATTGAAGAGAAATTGCATGAGTTGTTTTAAAACAAGGGTTTAGATTACTGATGCCTCCAGAGTCTGTCGTCTGATTTAGTTATTTAAGAAATAATTACATCACTAATGTAAACAATATAAACATACCAAAAACTAAGTATGATTTAAATACATTTTGATGGTACAAAAGAAAAACCTGAAGGTG